GGGCTGCATCATCGCTAGTTACATGACTCGGTTGACAGCGCAGTACTTCCAATGTAAAGTGGAAGGCTCATGTGTGAACCTCGCTGGTGGTATGCAGTTCCCTAATGCAGATGAGAGTTACTTCCACGTTTGGGAGTTTGCTTGCTTCATTCTTCTGGGTATATTCTTTGGCCTTATGGGTGCTATCTTTTGTCAGGGCGTGCGCTACTTCCAATACTACAGACGGGTCTTCTTTCATCTCTACTCCAATGGGAAGGATCGTCGGAGATTCGGTCAGGTGGTCGAAGCTGGGTTGGTGATGCTTATCACCATCCTGTTGGCTTATGGGGTATCTTGGTCGGAGATGGGCGCGTGCAAACCACTGGATGGACAGAGCTATATTCCTAACGATGGTATACAAGCGGCTATGTGCGATGAAGGGGTGGATATGGGCTACTACAACCCACTGGCGGCTATGCTCCTCACTGATAGGGACACCTCAGTGAAGTGGCTATTCTCACCTCGATTAGGCGAAGCGGAGTTCCCACAGGGACAGTTGGCAGCTGCTGGCTTCATCATATTCTTCCTCACTTTACTAACGTATGGTGTTGCCATCCCTGCTGGCCTGTTCGTTCCCAATATCATGCTGGGAGCCTGCTTTGGTCGACTCTTCGGTCTGTGGGTCGGCGACTGGGCCTCCAACCCTGGTGTGTACGCTGTTATGGGCGCTGCTGGTATGATGGCTGGCTTCACTCGTATGACCATCAGTCTTACAGTCATCGTCATTGAGCTAGTCGGAGACCTGCGGCTCCTCCCTGCAGTGATGGTCACTGTGGTGGTGTCGAAGCAAGTGGCTGACATGTTCAACAAAGGGGCATACGATATAGTGTCTGAGCTACGTGGATATCCCTACATTGAGGAGCTCAGCATCTACGATGAGCGTAACATGGCTGGCAAGGATGTGACATACCGGATGTCGACGGCGCCACTGTCTGGTTTCGGCGAGGTCGAGACATTGGGTAGAATCCAGGAGGTCCTCTCGACCTGCACTCACAATGCATTTACTATTGAGGATAGCAGCCATAGACTGCTCGGTATAGTGATGCGAGCTAATATCGTTGACTGGGTGAAAGCTCAGGGCGGCGCTGTTTCCGCTTCTTCCCGGTTGAACTTGCTAGACATGACTAATCGTACTCCAACGATAGTTTCCGAATTGACACCCCTAGCCCAGGCCTATACTATATTCCGTAACCTGGCTCTCCGACATATGATCGTTGTAGATAAGGATGATGCCAATCATGTAGTGGGTATAGTTACTCGGAAGGACATCGTTGACAGTATGGAAGATGCTGCTGATGAGTTTGGGAAACCTGGGAAGAGCGATGACACTGTGTCGCATTCTTCCACTGCCGCGGCCTCCCGAACAAGTATTATTGATGATGTTTTGTGATCTGGCTTGCAAAACCATAAGAATTTATGCTTGCATTGACGTCTATTTTGGTGGTGGCACATACGTGATGTAATGGTGTACTACATTTCACTCTGTGTTTGCACTATACTTCCACTCTCCATCATTGTCTATATTCTCCTTAGAAGTGGGGAAGGCATTTCTCTGTGAGAGCAGCGGCTTGTCCGATTCATATTTCCTTATCTTGTTGCTATCGGTACTCTGCGGTATGGGAGGACAACACTGTCGACGACAACTGTTTCGATGTGGTTAGTTACTCTATTTCCCACGTATGAGTTTGTTCGTGATGGAGTTCTATAACACTTATAGTATCCAACAGAGAAAACTATCTCGTGTTGACGTGAGCGTATCAGGTTTTAACATAGTTTTTTCGCCTCTTTTTTATGCACTCTGCAACAGCAAATGTCGCATCGCCGACATCAATACCTGCACATACTGCTGAAAATGGTGAGGGCGGTGACAGTGACACTGAGGCGGAAGAGGCTCTATTGACAGCCACAGACTTTCGCTGTCCGAAGCCACCTCCGTTCGAAAGCTTTGATTACTTTGTGGATCAGCCATCGAAGCATCGTGACACTCTTCTAGTGGGTCCGACCTGGAGTCTGGACAAGTCCGATCCAGCTCACTATCGTCCCCGCACCACCGTGTTGATAGGGTGGCTCCTGGTCATTCTGGCAGGGCTCCTCGTTGGCGTACTCAGAGCGGTCATTCTGATAGGGTCTTACTGGCTCTATCGAGGCCGCCTCATTGCTATGATAGCTGCTATCGCCAGTGAAGGCCTTGGCTTAGCATTGATCGTCTGGCTTGTTATCGGCGTGAGTCTGGCGACGCTCAT